TGATTCAGGCATCATTCTCCAATTCGATCACTTTCTATGCCAAAAATATGTCTCAATATAACGGACTATGTAACGGAATTTCTTGTTTTAAACAGGCAGCTGTACCTTCTTTCAGTGTTTTTATCATAACTTTGTATTCCGATATCCTATTGAGGCGATGCAAAATGCGTTGGAAAAATAACTCATCTAGCTACAACTTTAATTCAGACATCATTCTCCAATTCGATCAATTCTCATGCCAAAAATAGGTCTCAATATGAGACTAAAACACCGGAGCATAACTTTTCGGTTGGAAATTGATTTGTGATCATCTTTTGACTAAATTTGATCCCCTTGACTTCTTCCTTTATCCACTTGACTCCGAGCACTCTCAAATCTTCATCGTGAGATTCGGCACAACTTTTAAGTATTTATATTTTAGCCCCCGAACTTTGGATCCTTTACAATTTAGCCATTTCTCCAAATTTGTCTACTTTTGCTTAATACAGCGCGCCCAGACACGTCCTTAATTAACCAAAAAACCACATCTTTATTAATAACAAATTAATTATTTTACAAAAATATTAAATATAAACTAAGCAAACGTGTTGCTTGCACCAAGTAATTATAAGAAAATGTGATGCAGTCATTATAGTGGGAACAAGTCAGTTTTTCACAACAAAAGAAATCATCAATTTGCCTTTTTAGACCACTATAAGTGACGGATCAAATTACGTTTTGAAGAAAATTCCAATGTCCAAACCCAAAGACATTCCACGAAAGCCGGCACCATCTCCGACCCTTCCCAAGTAGACACTCCGTTTATTCTGGTCAACGCGTTAAGTCCACCGTCCCTACACGAACAACCTCTCTCTCTCTGTATATATATATACACACACACAAAACATTCATCTCCACGACTATCGGAACGAAATATAATGGGAAGTGAAGGGATCAGCATCAACAAAAAACTCAGATTCTTATGCCTTCATGGGTTTCGAACAAGCGGCGAAATCTTAAAGAAACAACTGGTCACAAAGTGGCCGGAATCTGTGCTGGAGAAACTCGATTTGGTTTACGTCGATGCGCCTTTTCCGTGTAAAGGAAAATCCGAGGTCGAAGGAATTTTTGATCCTCCGTACTATGAATGGTTCCAATTTAACAAGGTTTGATTGAATTCTTTGTTGCTACTATGAATGGTTCCAATTTAACAAGGTTTGATTGAATTCTTTGTTGCTCTAGATTCATTGTAATGGGGATTTTATTTTGACTTTTTTGTTGAATGGTCATTTTAGGAATTTACGGAGTACGAGAATTTTGATGAGTGTCTTACTTATATAGAAGAATGCATGTTGAAGCACGGACCGTTTGATGGGCTCCTTGGTTTCTCCCAGGTATTCAAAAATGCTACGATCGCCTTTTAAATTTGATCCATCGACCGACACATGTTTATAGTGTTGTCAAGGTGGAACGATTCAAAAATGATCTAGTATTGAGGTAGGTTACGAATTGGCCTATCTTTTCAAGGTGGACCATGTCGGGCTCAACACTATACTCGGCTGGCCGATGTACCATTGACCCAAAATATGGCTTCATGGGAAACTCAGACTTGCCTTGACCTGTATGCTAGTTATTTTGTTTCTTATCGACTAGTCCAACCCAATCGACATCCCTACATCTATTAGATGGACGGAATCAAATAGGTTGCAAAATTAATTCTAGAGGTTTTTTGATACATAAAACATCTAACTTTTCTATTATTTGAACAATGCAGGGAGCAATTTTATCAGCTGCGTTGCCAGGATTACAAGCCAATGTGAGTATTTTTTTTTTCCTCATTGTCCTCCAGATTTTATATTTTTGAGGGCCATTTTTAATGTGGTTTCGTTTTGTAGGAGGTGGCTCTTAAAAATGTTCCTAAGCTAAATGCATTTATAATAATTGGAGGAGCAAAGTTTAGGAATCAATCCGTGGCTGAGAAGGCATATTCGTCGCCAAATGAATGCCCCTCTGTTCATTTCTTAGGTAATTCCATTTTAGAGTCTGTCCTGTGAGCAGCCGTTTTCATTTCTAATGCACATACAAGGTCCACATTGTTCACACTGTTAAATTAGAGGTCTAAATTGAGTTGGGTTTGACTCATTGTTGATAGGCTAACTTACAAGGCGAGCAAAGATTGATGTGAAGTCTGATTTTTTCATGGGCTGAACTGCCTCGCGCTTAGATACCACTATAATAGATGCAAAGTTCCTTTTTTTAATATTGATCACTACCATTCAATTGTCTTACCAAACGTGCCATGAATGTATTAAGGTGCCGAAGATTTGGACTGCTAAATTTAACTTGTTCGAATAATTTTGGTCTATTTACTATCACAGGGGAAACTGATTTCTTGAAGCAATATGGGGTTGAACTCCTGGATTCGTTTGCTCAGCCTTTGGTGATTCATCATCCTAAGGGCCATACAATACCAAGATTTGGTAATGCTCTTAAACTTTATGTCTAACCTATGTTTACGTGCATAGTTGGTACATAATATTGTATCCGTTGAATATTAAGAGTCGAAAAACGAATCTGGCATAGCCAAATCATTTATACGACCTTTTTTTTTTCTTTTTCTTTTTCAGACGAGGATGGCTTGAAGAGCATGCTAAGTTTTCTTGAAAGGATGGAGGAGGTTGCAGGAATGGAGAAAAAATAAATATGTTATAAGAGTACTCCTTACTTTTAGCAACAAAAAGTAATTAAATTTGAACTGGTTTTTTTTAAAGCTTGTGTGTTTCTTATTAAATGATTATAGGAAACAGTCATTTGCTGTTCAAATCACTGGCATAGGCGAATTGAGTAGTCTTTTTGAATCATTTTATTTTTCTATTGATACTTCGGTATAATCTATAATTATATGAAAGTTAATCATGTTATGCTATACGACTGTGTTTGTGTTTCAAATGGGAAAAAAAAAACTCTATTTTTCCCAATAATCTCGATGAACTAGTTCTGGACAGTATAATTATGCTATCTAATTCTTTCTAGCAAACATTCTAAAAAAGATTCAAGGAAATGCAAACCTGTAATCTTATCTGAAAAACAGGTACACTCGATCTAGAGGTTGAGATGCTATAAAGAGAAGCAAATGAAAGTTCTATGCACATTCCTATTCGGAATCATAAGGAAAAAAAAACATATATGTATCTAGTGTTCTAAAAAGAGTGCATGGCGAGTAGTGCAGACTGATGTTCTAAAAAACTCACCTAGTAGTGCCTAGAAGTTTTTTTTTTTTTTTTTACAATTCCTAAACGACTGAATTTTTTTCTCCCCAACATCTTGAAATAATCCAAATGCACGCATTTCTCATTTTTTTTGGAAACGTGGAACAACTCTCACTTCTTTTTCTTCTTCTTCTTATTATAGTCGTGATTATTGAACTTCTTCTGTGTCTTCTCATTTCTCTGCCTTCTATCATAAATAAAAATCACTTCTGTCTTCACACTAGCATCTAATAAACAATTCCATTAAAACACGGCCATACACGCTGCTGCTTAATTTCTCTGCATATGTGAGTATTTGTCCAAATCATAAAAGTGCTACTTCTGAGTCCTTAACGACCTTGATGGCTAAAATCCATCATAGTAGATATAGAATATGAGTTGACAACTTTCGAAATGACACATTTTTCTAACTTTCCGTTTTGTCATTCATGGATTAGCATATCAAAAACTGCTCTTCTTGTATCACTAGATAAATTTTTTTTTCTTATTTGGATGATGCATATTGTTAACCACTGTGTCGGTAGTGCATAGAAAGTCAACATCTTTTGGAAATTGATTCAAATCAAGCTGAAAATTCTGTTGAACATGGGAATAGTTATTGTTTGGTGTAGGCATATTTTCAGGCAACAAATTCAAATCAATGGAAAAAGTTTTTGATGTACTATTCATGTTTTTACTTATGCTTAAATCTATCTCTATTTATAATATGCAATCAAAAAATTTAAAATCAAAATTGGCGGAATGGAAATTTGTTTTGATCAAAAAGTTTAAATTCAGGTTTTCGTAGCTAGCTGGTGAATATTTAAGTTCTGGTGCTTGGTGCTGGTTTTTGTTTTAGTTGTTTCAAAAAAAAAAATTCAAGTTAAGTTTCCCAATGATTAATCTCATCAAATTACACCATTCTAATTCTTTATTAATTCCAACAATAATTTAGTTTTACATATTGAAAATTAAATAGGAGTAAACTAGGAAATATCTCGACAAAAATTAATTTTCTAATAACATTAAAGAAACTTTCTTAATCCATGTGGAAAAACGAAATAAGCATGTACAATTGGGACGAGTGAAGTACGATTTAAGCTATGATGACATTTACACTATGTAATTATGATCTTGAAATTCTTTATTTTGTTGCAAACACCAAGAGCATTTATGATATTCCTATAAATTTATTAAATAAGATTTGTCTAGTTAAAAATTAAAACTATGAAAAATATTTTAATTTTTGCATTTCAAAAATTTGAAAATTGTATAATTGACTAATGGTGAGAATTATTAAATGAATATTGTATTTTATAATTTTAGATGTTTGATATGTATTATTTTAATTATTAAATAATTTTTAAAATGATTAAATTTTTTAAATAATATTAAAAATAAGAGAATATTTTTTTATGTCGAACCTTTGCCTTGGCTCGCCTAAGCTCGTAGATAAAAACAACAACAAAAAAGGCGAAAAAACGTGAGGCGGGACATTTTGCGCCTAGGGGCACTGCTTTTGAGAATACTATCTATACCAGAAGAAAATATCAAAACACAAAGAGAATGAAGAAACCGCTAATAAAAATGAAATAATGAAAAAAGTATTGGTCGTTTTCTACCATTTTATATTATACATGACATTAAATACTGCATAGCTTATCAGAATAAGGCTGTTCATTGTAAGAAAAATACTTCCCGGATTTGTATTTTCTATCAAGAATGTGGTTGGCTTGGAATTTGAGCGATTTCGAGTAAAATCTTGTGCAGTGATTGTGGCTTTGAGAAGAAAGGACAATGATCACTGCCTTTAATTTTGAAGACTCCTTCAGGTGGATTTTCCCTCACAAGCTTTTCTTGAACGTCAGGTGAAAGTACATGATCGTCCAGTGTTTGAATATAAAAACGCCTTCCAGTTCCATACTTCTCGGGAGAGAGAGACAATGCCTCCATCACAGGGCCAAGTGGGGTTGGTCTCATTGAAACCATTGCCAAAGCAACATCCTGAAAGAAACAAGATATTAGACATAATAGGCATCAGCCAAAAAATTCCCGGAAAAAAAAAAAAAGACAAAAAACTTATTCCTAATTTGGGGAGACTGAATTTTTTTCCCCCCTCTTGTAGGAGATTTATAATCTAAAATCCATGAAAAAAGAATAACATATGATCAAAGGGAAAAGAGGGCAGACGATGACCAGTTTTATCTAATTTATTCTTCTTTCAAGTTTCTTTCTTATATCTAGCAATACCATGATGGTCACCCTTTCTTAACTTCCATGCCACAACCTGACAATCTTACACCACCATTTCAAGCATCTAACCTGTCATGCTTTTCATCTAAACAATGTCAATGTTTCCATCAATATACCTAATTGATAAAGCAAGAGATAATTGTTTTTTCAATCTTTGTCAAGTCTACTGCATAACCATATTCTCCTTCCAGTTTTCTTATGACTAATAGTTTACATGCTAGCAGTACTAGCATTTAGCACGTGCAGCAGTTCCTTAAACCATGGGTTGTGATAGAAGTTCCAAAACTGGCTGCTAGGATTCAAAAAGTACCTTTGAAGGAGATTGATTAAAATATAAGCCGTGCATTTGCTGCTTCTCAAACATGAACCCAGTCGGAGGCTTGTCTTTCCCATTCCCATAAACTAGAAACTTTGATTCCTGCATGAAAAGTTCAGCAGACCCAAGCTGCAAACCAGAATTTTAACATTTAGCATTTGTTCGGTACACAGTGTTAAACAGTACAATGCACAAGATTTTAAATTATTTTTTTTCTTAACACAACCCTTTGTTGCCTAGTTCACCATACCAAACACATCGTTAGGATAAAAAAATTTGGGGGAAATGTTGTTGACAGAAGTATATAAAAGTTCATAAAATGAAATATAGCCCATGTTTGGCACCCATTTTCATCTCATTCTCATTTTTTTCTCTTTTATCATAATTTTTCCACCGCACATTCTCCCAATAAAATAATATTACACACAAATCTAAAACTTTTCATAATTTTTCCATCACACATTCTCTCATCAATCACTATTCCAAAAATTCTATTCTCCAAAAAAAGGGTGTCAAGCACCCTCATAATTTTCTGTCCAAAATTGGCTGAGATCAACCCCCTCTGCCAGCACAAGTGTTGAAATTTTTTTTAACAGTGTAGGGTTAAAGACTTAAATATACTGTTTTGCATCAAATTAACACTTTTTGGACCCAAAACTTTAAGACGACCAGCTAAAGTATACCTCTTGTGCAAAAACATCAAATGGTTTCTGTCCGTCGGATATCATCGTAGCACAAAGGAACACAGCTTTTGAGATCTTCTGAGGGAAATGTTCCAAGGCATAGGAGATACAAGCTCCTCCACTGCTGTGACCAACCAATATTACCTACAGAGAGAAACATTAAAAGAACCAATGACAAATAATAGGGGAGTAATTTTGAAACTGTATGAAAGATAGCATAGCTTATAAAGTTCACTTGTATAATAAGCAAGTTTCATAACAAAAAACATTTTTATTGGTCGAAGTTGGAAACAAGGAACCTACTTATTATGGCATTATGACGAGTTACTTTAAAAAAAAAAAATAGTCGCATATTTTACAAGAAGTCAGTTATCCAAACATGTTTCGAATTAATCTTTACTTTTTCTAACTTTAGCCAAACGCACATTTTCCGATCATCATTTACCTTTTCATCCTCTGGTAAACTCTGCAGATATTGAATCAATGGTTTTGAATAGTCTGATAGTGTAGTGATGCTGTTCGTGTCCGTTAGATCAATGCCAGATCCTGTTAGATCCAAGGCAATCGGAAGTAATCCAGCTTCCTCGAGCAGAGCAATAGTTTTATACCAACACCAAGCTCCAAATCCTTCTCCAGGTATCAAAACAAATTTCTTTGTTTCGATATTCTCCAAATAATCTGGTAACTATAAAAGATGTATTTCAGATAACAAAATCATGAACGTGGGGAGGGGAGGGGAGGGGAGAGGAGGGGGAGTATGGTTTGGTGAAAAGGAACACATTGATGCATTACTCGAACACCAATTTAGCATACAAATAAATGAATAACTAAGCATTATTTACAATCATACTCATAATCTATAGATCATGATTGTGATTCTCACAAGTCATAAGATATTTTTAAGTGAATGGAAATCAATCACTTAAACTGCTTATACTCGTGTAAAATTTGCCAACTGATTACTTCCAAGGAGGGGGAGAAAATGCTAAGACGGAATTTTCACAGCTAAAACTTCAGGAGATAAGAAATATGAAAAAAATGGAATTTATAAAAAATATTGGAAAAATGAATTTTAAGTTTCAGATGTCAAATTAAGAATTTTCCTTGGTTGCCAATGAGAACTTAAATACTGTATATTCTTGGTTTTATTCGAGTATAGAAATTATGACACATGTCATTCTTCTTTAAATCTACTCGAAACCTACAAAAGAATATGCATCAAGCATCATTAAACTAAATAAAAAAACATAAAAAAGCTCTCCAAAAGACTAACAAAAAGAAAGAAAAAGATCAATTGTCCCAACTTTTTCTTCTCACCTTTTCAAACCATAATGAACACTGATCTCACTTTTTATACACAAATAACATTTTCAGATCCTAATCATTAATCCACTAAAACCCAACTCTTTTCCCTATGGATCCTAATCATTAATCCACTAAAACACAGCAAGAAATACTCTCCACAAATACAAACATATACTACAACTTAAAGCTAAAAGTTAATTGTTGCAAAGTATAAAGCAAAAATACAAGCAATATATTAAAGGGGGGAAAAACCTGTTTTGTATTAGTATTTGAAAACGGGTCGGACAAATTGGTGGCTCGCCGCCGGGAGCTGGTGGATCCAATCCTCCGAGACATGGATCCAATATTGTTATCAAATCTTTGAGAAAATTGGTGTTGCTGAATTGCCATGGCCAGTGCCTGCCGGTGAATCAATTCTTCTTCCATTGAGCTCTTCCTCCTCGACATTGACCCCCTTTTGCTTTTCGATCCCGTCCCAACATTCTTGCTTTCTTTCTTCGTCATACAAATAAATTTATTCCCCATCTTAAGAAATTACTGAATTTTGAAAAAAACTTGATTTTATATTCTTGATAAATCACGAAAAAGACTGGATTCTGAACAAAACCCAGATTTTCTTTTCTTGAAAATCACCAAAAAGACTCAATATTGAACAAAGCCCATATTTTATTTTCTTGAAAACCACTAAAAGGACTCAATTTTGAGGGGAGAGAAATGAAGTAGTAGATGTGGCGAATATATAAATTAATTGTAGTGGAGATGGAAATTTTGGGGAACAAAACGCAAAAAAAAAAACCAGCTCAACTGCAATAGGAAGCAACTAATTTAATGCATTCTTTTTCAACGTTTGTATTCTTCCTCACTCTCACTGACTCCCAATTAAGACAAATTATTATTCCCTTTCTTCTTTTTACCTGTATTTATACTTTTCTGGTTTTTTGTTTATTTTAGCCATTAGATAAGCATTCAGAATTTGGTATCCTAATGTTGAGCCTGGGGCCAATTGTTGACAAGGGGTTATGCCTTTGAGCAATGTTTGGTCAGAAAATATTTTTACAGAAAACTTACCTACACACAGATTAGTGGGTCCCGCATCAATAAAAAAATGTCATAACATACACCCACTAGCTCTTCAATATTTTGAAGGAATCTATAAAAAATCATAATGAAAATTAAGTAGAGGATAAATAACCTTGAGATTGATTGTATTAAACGTATTTGCAATTAAGATTGTACATACATAAATTATTGGGAAGTGCTACAAGTACATTAGGGGTGCCATAATTGTGTCCATAATGGACACATGGCACCACTAATGTACAAGAAGAATTATTCTAAATTATTACTTGTACAATAGTTTTTTTTTAAAAAAAAAAAAGATAAAATGAGGAGTCAAGCTCCCAAAATATACGAGCTGGATTCTAGAGCCTAGTAGTCAAGCTTGATCGACTTGTCTAGACGAAAATCAAGAATGATCTGGCCCTAAGCTCAATTTATTGTAGCTTAACACAAATATAATTCTTTCTCAAATTTTTATTTAGTGTCTACTCTTCTTCTACCAAAACTCCAAATTTCAAAAGAAAAGAAAGCAGGAAGTAGAAGTGTTTGTGTAAATTCCAGATTTAGGTTGTATCATTACTTTTCATTTAGGTTGTATCATTGATTTTCAACAAATTTATATATTTATCTAATTGATTTAGTGATAGTTCAAAAGAAGTAAATAATAATATGTCAAATTATTTTCAAGATAATAATGAAGAAATAGATCAAGGTAGTTCATCTGCATATGCATCAAACAATGTTTCAAATGATATTAATTCAAAAGAGCTTCAAATTGCTCAAATTGAGCAAAAACTTCAAAATTGGACTGTCCCAAAGGTAGACAAAAGTTCTATCCACGAGATAGTAAAATTTGATTTTCCTCAAAGTTATGTTATCAAAATATTGGAGCAAACTATTCCAATCAAAAATTAAATTGTTTCTATCAATTTACTTTCAAAAGAATTTATTCTTCCCCATAGGAAGAAATTTCAATATATTCATATTGGTCATGTTCAAATTGCTGTCAAACTTTTGTTTAGAATTGGTCTAGACATTCATGTTCTCATAACTTTAAGAGATAACAGACTTTTAAAGTTTGAACATTCATTATTGTCCATGCTTGAGTCCAATCTTGAGAGTGATCCGGTATTTTTAAATTGTTATCCAAATTTTTCTGTAAGCCTTCAGGATGGAGCTATTCTCAGCTCTCTTCATCTTCGAATTCATTTCTGTAAGCCTTCAAGATGGAGCTATTCTCAGCTCTCTTCATCTTCGAATTCAAATAAAAAATTTCGATGTTGATGATAGTTCAAAAGCCTTTGCTTTAATATACAGAGTATATTATAAGCTTTTGAACAATCAAATCAATATTTGTGCTCTTAAATCTTCTCCGATAGATGAAAGTCTTTTAATTGAAGTCAATCCACTTCATTCAAATATCATGATTCCCAAGAGAATTCCCCGATATCTTCAAGCAAGAGGTTTAGAGTGGGATTTTGAGAATGTATAAAATCTTATTCCTACTCCTGTAAGAAGGAATCCAAAACAAACTATTCATTTTCTTGGTGGTAATGTCAGAGTTATTTTTGATAAACCATCATCCTCTTCGAGAACTTTTCAAATATCTTATTCATCTAGATCTGATGATAGATCTAAAACAAATTCTTTTCAATCTGCTAGATTTTTTACATCCTCTATCAAAGGTGTAAATTTTAATCCAAAAATTCCAAAACCCTTTTATCAAGATAAAGAATCGAATAAAGAAGAAGAGGATGAGCCTCCTACTTCTCCAACTTTATCAGATATGGTTCCTCCTCAATTTGAAAAGTTTGATCGACAGTGCAATGTTATTTCTTCTAAAGTCGATAGAAGAAATGAGTTCAAAACTAATCAAACTCCAGAGATCAAAAAATTTCAACATCTTATCAAAAAAATCTTTTTCAAAAGAACAGATTGAATCTTAATGGGAAGAATTTGATAATTCTCTAGCAGATATTAGTTTTTACGAATGGACTTATTTCAAGGTTTTCAAAAAATTGTCTAGCAAAACAAAAACTATTCAAAATACTACTTCTGCAAAGAAAACCTAGAAAACTTCCTCGGGTGAAATAATCAAATCCTTTTATCCTCCTTTCGAAGAGATTGTTGTTCCACATGGAACTACAGAAATTCTTGCATCTCCTTTCAAAAAGACTGAACATGCTAATGATTCTTTTGTTAATGCAAAAGATATAAAAAAAATATTCAATCCCAAAATAATTACACTAATATTGTTTTTCAATCCATGTGCACTCAGCTTAATAGAATTGAAATCAATTCTGAATTTGAGTGTTTAGAGCCTTCAAATTCAAATAAAGGCAAAAAGAAGAAAATTGAAAAGCCTCTAACATCTTTATGCCATTTTCATGATGTTGTTCCTAAAAAATTACATTCAAAAGAAAGAGTCATTAAAGAGCTTGCTACTTAATTGTCAAAATTGTCCTCCTCTTCAAACAATGTCAAAACTATTGATGAAATTGAATCTCAATTTATTGAAGAATTTGATCTTCAAGTCAATAGAATTTGTGGACAAAATATTCAATATTCAAAAATTTCTGCTTATTATCCTCGTCACACTAATCCAGATTTACTCTTCGGGGAAAAAGGCAAAATACAAGTCAAATATGACTGAGATTCTATCATTCATTGAAATATTGATGGATTATCTGAATATCAAATCATTCAGCTTCTTGAAAAAATGGGTATTTGTCCCAATGCCTATATTTCTAACGGAGCTAGTAATCCTGAAGCTACAAACAACCTTGTCCTTGGGTTTTCTGGACAACTCAAAAATTGGTGGTTCAATTGTCTTACTTCTCAAGATAGAAATCAAATTGCAAATTCTACCAAAATTGATGGTACAAATGATAGTTTGCAAGTCTTATTTATAGCATTACCAAACATTTTATTAGAATTCCTACTGATATTCAAGAAGATGACTCTCAAATTCTTATGAATCTCAATTGTCCAACTTTGCAAGACTTCCGGTGGTACAAAGACATGTTTCTTACTCGTGTCTTACTACGTAGTGATTGTGAACAATCTTATTGGAAACAAAGATTTATTTATGGACTTCCAAAGCTTTTCGCCGAAAAGGTCAAAAACGCTATCAAAAGATATCATGATAATTCAATTCCTTATAATGATCTTACTTATGGAGGACTAATCGAGAATGATTAGCTCTCTGCACTGACCTCATACTCAAAGCTAAATTGAAATCAGAAAGATCTGATGGTCGTAAAGAACTTGGATCATTCTATGAACAATAAGAATTCCAAAAGATTATTCCTTCTTCAAGATCGAAGAAGAAGAATGTTTCTTCTCATTTTAAGAAAAGATCTTCTAAAAAATATTCTGATAAGAAAAAGAATTTTCAAAACTTTCCTTCTAAAAACTTTTCAAAAAGAAAATTTTCAAAAAAAGAAAAAAAAAAAACTTCAAACGTTACATGTTGGAAATGTAACAAATCTGGTCATTATTCAAATCAATGTCCTTTTAAGGGAAAGATTAGTAATCTTCAATGTGATGAAGATATTAAGCTTGAACTTCTCAATTTGATCAATTCAGATTCTGATTACTCAAACTTTGAAATTGAACAAGTTTTTCAAGATCAAGAAGATTCTGATAATGAAAATAATTCAAATTCATCTTCATTTTCTTGTCAAGGTAAAGAAGTTTGTAGTTGTAAAACCATAAGGGTTTGTTTGATTGCAATGGTGAAAAATGGGTGGAAAGAAAATGAATTTCAGGGAAAGTAATTGTCTAAAAATTGTTTTACATGTAATTGTTAATTAAGTGTGTTTGATTGGTATAATTTTCCACCCAAAAAAATTTTGAAATTTTTGGATCTTTTTTGTTCACGTTTGTCTTTATTTTACATAGAAATTGTCCAATAAAATGATTTTTTTTTTTTTACACAATTTTTTATAAAATTTGTAAACACAGCCAAAAAGTAAAAAAAAAAAAA